AAAGCTGAGGAAGTAAAGGAAGGTGAAACAAGGAATGGAAGAAAAGAATGGAGAAAGAAAGGGAAATGAAGGAAAGGAAGGAAAGCAAGAAGGAAGGGAGGAAGGAAGGAAGGAAGGAAGGCAGGAAGGAAGTAAGGAAGGAAGGAAGGAAGGAAGGAAGGAAGGAAGGAAGGAAGGAAGGAAGGAAGGATGGATCTGAGAGATCTAGGTGGGCAAAGAGAGCTCTTTCCGGACCTAGAGTGGAATCTGTTTCCCTTGGGTGGGTGGAGAAGGAGTGGGGAAGGGCTGGCAGGGGGGGGGAGGAGACTACGTGTGCAAGGGTCCCTCCTTCCTATGGTCCCCGGCAGAGAGAACAATGTGCTAGAGGCTCATTGCCCCTGCTGGCTGGAGGTGGGGGTGGGGAGGAGATGGAGGTGGGGCGGAGGCTCTACTTGTGTGAGGGGGAGGGGGGGGTCAGGCACGGGGGCAGATGCTGGTTGGGGGCCTCCAGGAAAGGCTGGAGGCCTGTAGAGCTGAGCTTGGGGATGGACCCTCAGCCTAACTACTAGATCGACTCCTTGGACCCAGGTCCGTGTTGTTACCCTGGCATTGTAATGATTTGATCTGCAGATGTAAGTGGAATTTATTGTAACAACAAATATAGTGATGTCAAAACCCAACCTTGGATTAAACCCGGCAGCCAAAGGGGAAGTGTATTAATTTCCAGCCGCCTCGCAGGCCAGTGCCTATTAGACGGAGCTATTCTTCAGGCCCCCCCATCAGAATTAATCATTGGGAGTTAATTTGAAGCTCAGACAAGTTGCTGTTAATTTAGTGCAGGGAGGACGGGACGAAATAAAAAGCTGAGGTGCTGGCCAGGCCTCGTGGGTCTCATTAATCAGCCAGCTGAGACGGCCTGGCTTGATTACAATTTGCAAAAAAATTCATTAGAGCCTGGGCGATTGACAATTTTTCTCTCTGCCTGTGATCTGACTCATTAGGCAGCCAAATGAAAGCCGTGATGATGGTGATGATGACAGCCATCAAGCCCTCTCCCTTGTTTATCTTCTCCCTTCCGCCTCTTCCTGGCTCAGTGGTCTCCACTTCTGGGCACTCTGGGCCTCTCTTGGTGATCCTTCTGTCTCCCTCTCTCTGAGGGACGGGGAGGGCGTGGGGGAGGGCGAAAGAGAGGGGGGAAAAAACCTAATTAGCAAATACCATCGGTGAGTATTTGGGAGATAGTTGGGTTCCATTGAAGCACTCCGGGATCTCTAACCGCCCCCCCCCCTTAATTCCTGATGGGAGGATGACAGTTAGATTTCCTTTCCCACTTGGGGGTAGAGAGGGTGAGGAAGGATCTCGGTACTCTGGGAAGTCCCTTGACTTTCGACTTATGGCCGCTGTCTGTCTTCCCTAGATAGAGAAAGGAGTCCCTCTCTGTGCTACAGAGAATAAATAGAGCTGAAGGCCTCTGTCCCTTATTTTTGGCGCTATCGCTGTGCGTGTCCCTCCAAGCCACTAAACTCGGAGGGCTGTAAAAATCACGACGAAATGTTTCCTGGCTCTTCCCTGTAGCCAACCTGCCCGGCCCACAAGTCGATGCAAGCATACAGTAAGTTAGAAACTTGCTTGGCTCCGCGGGGGAATGGGAAGGATAGTCCAAAAACTCGAACCCTAGGAAATTAGGTTGGAATCTGAGGGGGCTTTGCACCTGTCCTCGAGCGAGGTAAGGGGGTATCTGGTTCCCCTTGAGTCAGGCGCCGTTCCCGCCTCTCTGGATTGAGCAGCGGTTGTGCTCTGTTGTCCCGGGAGCTCGGGACGCTTTACCAAACCGGACGGTAGGTATGGCAGAAATCCCACCTGGGGTTGCTATCCAGCTCACGTTGTCGAAAATTCCCAGCCCACTCTGGATCGCCTCCCTCACTGAACCAGATCTGCCCGAGTCATCAAAGTGGTCTCCGCAACCTGGAGCCACAGCACAGAAAGAGAGCCCGAATCCCCAGTGCAGGGCAGCACACGAGCCTAAGCCAGCGAGTTTACAAACAAAAATCCTGCTCTTCTTTGTAAAAGAGGGTAAGGGGGAGAGAAGCATGCAAATCTTTGCCACCAACCAAATCCACGCGAGCGCTTGCTTCTCCACGCGCCTTTTTGAGGGCGTGCAGGTGGGTCTGGCTGGAAAGCCACGGTCGTGTACTTGTCATCAGATCTGAGCCGCGGGAGCTTTCTGAAAAGTCATGCTGAGACCGGGATTGTTTGCACCCTTCTTTCGTCTCTTCAAGGAGAGTGGAGGAGCTTGCGGGCGGTGGAGGGGAGAGGAAGCAAGCCCAGCTGTCCCACTCGTTCCCCCAGACTGGGGTTTCAGTTCAAACTGGAGAATGGGGGGGGGTGTTTAGAATTCATGTCTATATTTTATCACCCTTTAAAACAATACATGCCTGGGTCGTTTACTAGTCACTATAAATATTATGGCCCATTGTGTAAAAAGAAAAAAAATCAATTTTGAGCAGACTACTTAGTACTTCGATGCTTAGATTTACACTTGGAGCTGGGAACATCAGATGTTTTTTGAGTAAAACTAGAAGCCAGTCTCTCTCTACAAAGCCTCGTTTCTTCATCACTGAAAGGCAGCTCGGCTCCTAGCCCCAAGCCTTGTTTTTAAAAAAAAAAAAATGTAACTGATGTAAATTATGTCAATTTCAGTATCTGTCCAGGCTACATACATTTCAGTCCTATCCTGGGGCCGGTGCTTAGAGAAACAGACCGATGCTTGCTTGCTGTCTATGCAAAGCCTTACTCAACCCCTGTGCTTAAACACTGGGATTTCGGAACCAGTTATGGATTTTTCTCCCGGCTTTTGAAAAATCCTATTCTAGATGTTAGCTATTGGGAGGGTGGGGGCGCTTTTCATCGATTATTCTCCAGCTGAATTTTGTCTGTACACATAGGCAGTGCCTAATGAGGATCGGACATACAAACACAGCCTTGCACGGTTTTAAAACCTTGTCCAGTAACCTGGGTTCTGTAGCAGCAGTACCTGGACCTTGGCTTCTGACAAACAGTTAAATGTTTTCTGGAGAGAGAAGTGGGGAGCCCTGCCCCTTGCACTGAATAACTAATGCTTGTCCCTCTAAACTGTTTGTCAGCTAACAAGCTGGCTTGAGTGAAAGGGGAAAAGAGGGAGGTAATATAACTGGGGGATGGAGAGAAAGTGAAAGAGATAGAGAAAACAGTTCATTACAGGAATCTCTCAAGGCAAACATACGGAGAAAAAGTCAAAGGTATCTTTCCAAGATCTGGCATAAAAAGCCTGGCCTCCCCCTACAGCTTCATGCAATGCCCTGTTCAAACCCAGTCAGGGCCTTCCCTGCATATATTATAGGACAACCCCCAGACGCCCCACTCCCAGAGGGGGAGGTCTGGAGTGCGGAGGTGCAGGAAATAATCAGCTGGCATTTATAGCCTGCATCTGCCAAGGCTGAAAGCTTAGGGACCAGCCCAAGGGGTTAAACATTTTCCAAATCATCATCATTTAAAGGCTGCCAAACCCTCCTCCTACAACTTTGCTGAATCCATTACACAGGGAGAGAAAAAGGTAGGCACCTAGCAAAGGGTGGTTGAAGAACTGGTGGAAGGCACCGCCTTCTACACCAACAGGACCTCGGCCCCCTACCAAAATTAGATGCTTGGGTTGGGTTGCAGTTGGGTTGGCAACTACTTGAAGTCCAGACTGTAGGGGTTCCCGTTCTGCTTCAGTGCAGAGGGTGGGGGAGTTTATGGAGTCTAAGCAGAGTTCTAGTTTTAGGGCTAAAGGAGACAGCAGCTAGAGCTGATAGATATGGGATCCCATTTCCTTCCTTCTCCCCTCTCCTCTGTCCAAAGTTTTCCAATTTGCTTTGCTGTTCAACCCTATCCCAACTGAGACATGAAGGTTCCTAAGAGAAATTCTGTCTTTTTCTAAATGAATAATGTAATCAATTAAAGGCAGCTCCTTAAACCCTCCTTCCCCAAACTGCACCTTCAGGATACATTACCCAGTGATAAGTCCCAGGAGAAACCTGTAGGGGCTAAGGTGGGTTCCCCAGGGCCAAGCAAAGACTCAGATTCTGGAGAGACTCATCAGGTCCTGGATTATGTTCTTTTTTTTCCTTTTCTTTTTATTATTCACAAGACTGAGTTTGTTTAAATTCCATAACTTATAAGGAGATAAGCTACATTGAAATAAATTAAACACAATAGAGACCGACGTGCTTTCAAACATGGCTTAGTTAAGGATAGGCAACTCAGAGAGAGAATGCCAAGCCAGGAAAACAAAACAAACAACCAAAAAAAAAAAAAGGTTCACTTGGGCACCCTGAAAATGTCTGCCCCTCAGCCAACTCAGAGAGTCAAAAAAATAAAGGGGAAAACCCAAACACTTTTGTTTCCTTTTACCTTTGGAAAAGCAAGAAACAAAAATATATAAAATAAAAAGGTTGGCTTGTGCATACCGCAGGTTATCGGCTTGGTTCTTATCTTGTTTTCTTCTGGAATGTAAGACCTTAATGAACTGGGGGAGTTGGTCCCATTAGTTTAAAAAAAAAATCCTGCAGCTGAGATTCGGTATAGATAGATTAACTATATACAAAGTAAGATAGAATAATACTTAGTGCCTCTGTCCAGATTCCGATGTTTCCCTCATCCGAAAATAGTTTTTCAGCATTGTCTGAAATTAATATACTCTCAATTTGCTTGCTCTGTCCAACATTCACTTCTTTGTTTTTGTTCGTTTTGTTAAACGTTTTGTTTTTCAAACAGTTCTGAGAGTCGGGTAGGACTCTGCTATTCTTCAGCTCCTCCTTTGTCCCAGTGTGTGTGTGTGTGTGTGTGTGTGTGTGTGTGTGTGTGTGTGTGTGAGTGTGTCTGTGTGTATGTGTGTGTGTGTGTTCGCACGTGTGTGTTTGTGGGAGGTGAGGGTGGTCTTGCCTCTCCTGGCACCTGCTGGGGTTGGGCCTGGGGAAGTTGAGGAGGGGGCCCTTGGCCGCTCAGGGCCTGGCTTGCTCCAGCTGCTGGTGTTGACTTCTGATGGCAAAACGACTGACGTGCACCGGAATGGGGACGACGATCTTGGGGTTCCGAGAGGGCTCCCCGGTCTTGGAGTTGGCGTTGCCGGCTTTGACCCGTTTCCATTTCGCCCTGCGGTTTTGGAACCAAATTTTCACTTGAACCTCGCTGAGTTTGAGCGCGTGGGCAATCTGCGACCTCTCTGTCAGGGACAGATACTTCTTACAGTGGAATTCCTTCTCGAGCTCCAGAAGCTGCTCGCTGGTGAAGGCCGTCCGCCTGCGTCGGTTTTTGCCGGTGGAAGTGGTGCTGCTCGAGCTGCTGCTGCTGCTGCTGCTGCTACTGCTGCTGCTGCTGCTGCTCTGGGGATTCTCCTCCAGGGCCGTGGCCAAATCTTCCTCCTTGTGGGCTGCTTGGCTGGGGATGTTGTCGTCGGAGCTGTAGTCCAGGTCGCTGTCCATGGAGAAGCTCTCGTCTTTGCCTTTGGAGTCGTCTTCCCCTTTGGCCTCCTCTTTCCCTTGGCCTCTCATGGCCCCCACTGAAACCAAACCAGAGGGACAATTTGTTACGTTTCCCGGGTCACCCCTGCAAGGGGAAGGACTCTACGGGTTTTGACCCTTTCTTCAGGAGGACTTTTCTTTCCAGCGGTTATCTAATCTAATTACCTAGACTGGGCAGAAGGGTGACTGCCTAGGTGTCTGGGGGATTGTATGTGTGGCTGGCTGGGTCGCTTTTGGCTAGGTGTTTTTTGGAAGGACATACATAAGGGAACCCTGGGACAAGCCCAGAGAGAGTGGAATGGGATGGGCTTTGATTGCTCCGACCCCCAGTTCAGCCTGTCTCTGACCCTCCCACTGCTTCCAGATATCCTCCAGGTGAAGTTCCCATTTCGTCCTTTACCTGCACTCCCCCCACCCCACCCCCGCCCAAGAAAACCTTCTTTCGTTTGGAGGTTAGTGTAAACCCAGTCTCCTCCCTAGGCTTCGCTGAACCGAGGAGCCTGGGGTTTGCCTTCTTTGTCGTTGGGTTGAGAGGGTGCCAAACCCACCTGCTCCTGAATCCCCACATTGCCCTCGCAGTGGGACTGGAGGTAGGGAATGAACGGCTTCTCCCTTTCAGGAGGCCAGAGAAGGTTACTTCTTTCCTCCTTGAGGAATGTTATTGGATGCTCTGGTCAGACAGATGTGACTAATTGGGAGAAGTTGGGAGCTAGCAGCCCAGGTAGCCCGTTCACCTCGCTATCCTGGATGCCTCCCCTGCACCGTACCCTCAGGCAGCTCTCCAGGTGGCAGATCCCAGGAGAGACACTACTGGGAACTGCCAGGGCTGTGCGGGAGCCCTGGAGCTGTAGGCCAGCTCAAGCACCCTAACATGTCTGGGGCTCGCCTCCCTCTCTCTTCTGACCCCTTGCACCCTGTGGGGACTGGTGCAAGTCTGAACTGAGCTTCCAAAGTGGAAGGCTGTGATACCAGCCTCCCCCAGCCCATTCCTGGCTCCCTGGGGGCGCTGACCGATACACAACGTGCCGGCGGCTGCGGTGCTCGCCTTCCCCGGTAATGTGTGGACCGAAGTTGCCCACTCCTAGCCTCGGGTTTTCCCCCTACACCATGCCAGCTCTGCTTGGCCTCTCGGAGTTCCTTCCCTGGGTCTGGCGGCTCAGGCCCGCCGATGGAGAAGGAAGAGGTAGGCATGCCGGCTGGTGGATTGAGAGCGGGGCTAGGGTGGGGAGCAGGAGACGAAGGGCGAGGACTTTCTGAGGGGCTTGCCGAGGGGCTGCTCGCCAACCCTGCCTTGCCGTTTCTTCGGTCATTTCAGGGCCCGAAGAACTGTGTGACTGGGAACTTGGCCGATCCCGAGGCTTCCAAGGTTGCCCCCCTCCTCCCCGTTCTGCCCACCTCCTGCCGTGATCCTGTCCCCCTGCCTCGTCGTTCCCCCAGCCCAGACCCGTGCCCGTCCCCCTCGGGCTCCAAGCCTCTGATGTTCACTCAGGGAAAAGGAGACGATCAGGACCACTCACCGAGGGAAGCCTGCACCGCCTCGGAGGCCGAGAACGACAACAGCGAGGTTTCCTTGGCCAGGAAAGCTTTACCATCCTCCGACTCCGCCGGGATGCCGTCTGCCTTGTCGAAGTTGCCCTGCAGGGCCTGCGGCGCGAACTTGCGAGCCGCTTCCTGGTGCTGGGGTGAAGCCGAGAAGCTGCTGGGCAGAGTGGCCATGAGCGTGGAGGTGAGGGCCATGCCCTGTGCCAGGCTGGAGCAGAAGCCGGTGGGCAGGCTGGGAATTTGGTGGTGGGGGTGTGCGGGCGGCAAGGCCGGCTGCAGGGAGGCCTGCGGGAGCGTGGGGGGCGGCGGGGGCGGAGGGGGCAGCACCACCGGCCGGTAAGGCATGAACATGGGGTAGCCGGTGTACACGAAGTGTCCCGGACTGGGCTGAGGAGGGCTGCCGATCAGCGAGTCGATGCTGAAGGCAGTGCTGCTACCCAGGGGCCGCTGCATCATCATCAGGGAGGGCGGAAAGGCAGCGCTCATATACGCTCCCGGGGATGGGGATGGAGATGGAGTGGAAGAGAAGCAGCTGGCAGAGCCGCAGGCCGCCTCTGAGAAGCGCCCGCCAGCGGCCGGCCGACCCAGCCGGGGACCCTCCCCGCCCGCAGCCTCTTCCCGCCGCGCCCGCCGAGGCCAGCGGCGGCGGCGGCGGTAGCAGCGGCCCTGGACGCGCGTGAACGCCGGGGACAGCGGCGGGAAGGTATAGACTCGCCCGCAGCGCCCTTCGGACGGTCAGCACCCGGGCTGAGCCATGGGAGGGCGGCCTGAACAAGCAGGACAGCGCAGGGAGGCGCGGGGGGCAGCAGGCTCTCTCGGCTCCTCTGGGCGCCCGAAGGGTATGGACGGACGGGTGGGGGTGTGAAGGGAGGGCGGCCTGGCTCTGCCCGCGGGGCTCCCCGTGCCCTGGGCGCGCGGCTGGCCAGCGGGCTCCAGGAGAGCCTTCCGCGGCGCCGCTCTCCTGCTCTGGCGCCGGCCCTGGCCCTGGACGGCCTCTGCTGCTCCTGCGGCCGCCTCCGCTGCCGCTACGCGCCCTGCCTGGCCTGCTCCGACTGGCCCGGTGCCGGCGGCGCGGTGCGGTGCTGTCCCGTGCTGCCCTGCCCAGTCTAGCCGCCTGCGTGAGCCCAGCCCGCCGACGCCCCTCTGCCTCCCTCCCGCCCGGGTGCCGCCAGCACCTTTAAATCGCGCTCTGCCTCCTCATTCACATTTTGCCAGCTCGGGAACTGGGTCTGCCTCACGTGGGTGCCTGCGCCTCTCCCCACTGGTCAGAGGGGCTGAGGGGGGGCGGGAGGCCGAGCCTGGCTCCGCCCCTAGCCCGTCCTCATCTCTCTCCCCTCCCCGCCCCCCCCCAAACACAGCTCAGGGCAAAGGCAGAGCCAGAGATCTGAAGTGAGAGAAATCAAACCAGAGGAGGGAAGGAAAACAGCAGCGCATCCTGGGTTGCTGCAAACTCTTGCAGCCAGCTCCAGGAACACTTGCAGAGACAGGCCTGCTCCGCCCCGAGCATCGGCGCCCGCACACAAGCGCTCACTCGTTCCACACAGCGCATCCCAAACGCACGCCTGCGGTCATAGTCGAAGGTGTTGCAAAAAAAAATGTTTCCAACAGAAAAGCTCCCCGAACCCCGCACTGATAGGGGGCGAGCGCCCCGATTCCTTAATTAGCCCATTTCCTCTGTGTTCACGTGGAGGATTCACCAATGGGGAAAAGGTTGCTTGGACCTCAGGAGACCCTGTCTTCCCATCTCAGCCCTCGGTTAGTTACAGGAAGTCTCAACACCAGGACAAGAGGAGACAGTCCGTAAGGTTCTGGACACTCGCCCTCTCTATGCACTACTCGCAAACGCTGTGCATCTCCATCTACATATATTTTCTGCTTACATTCATTTCATGCATAGATGTGTGCAGCGTGTTCCACGATGCACCAATGCCTGGCTCGTTTTCTCTTCTACCCTGCCTGAAGGGTGCAGTAGGTCCGTGACTTTGCCTCCCCTAAGTCCCTCTCTCCCAGAGAGCGATCCGCTCGATCCCTCGATTTCCCTTCCTTTGAAAATCACTCCCCCCCCTCACCATTTGCACTCTTTGCTACAACCGCTCCCCCCCCCCACACACACATCCCATACCGGCCGCAAATGATTATGAAAATAAAGGGAGTCATCACTCAGCTTCGTCCTGGGGGGAGGTAGGAGGGGGTGCTGCAACCCCCTCTGCTGACGCTCCAACCTGAGCGCTGGTTGCTGATGAAAGCTTTATGGTGTTTGCGCAAATCCGCGCCCGTTTGGTAAATAGGCGCTAATTAAGCCCTGGCCGTGAGGCAGAAAGGTTCGCTCACGAAGGCGAAGCCTCTTGGAGAAAGGGAAGCAGCGACAGCCGCGGGGTGGGATCTCGGGGCCCCTGGCCGCCATTCTCCTGCAAGAAAGAGGCGTTTTATAATGATTTGATTACCGGACGACCCCACCCCCACTTCCCGAAATTTAAGGCCACCACAAATTGGGAGGGGGGAGGTATTCCATGAGCCAACAATTTCACCTCTAAAGTAAAAATCTCACGTCTCTCTCTCTCTCTCTCTCTCTCTCTCTCTCTCTCTCTCTCTCTCTCCTTCCTCTTCTCCCTTTTAAATTGCATCATTTCATGAAAATGGAAGAAAAACTGAAGCCCCTAATGACGAGTTACGTGGGAATGATAGAGGCCTCCCGAGATGTGTCTAGGAGCCGCTTCGAACTTCCCGGGTCTGCTAGTCTGGACACCCTCCCTTTCTCCTCCCACCCCCACCTCCCTTCCCCGCAGGCGTCCGGCAATTTTTCAGTAAGGAAGAGAGTAAACACACAGAGCAGATTGAGATGGGGGGGGGGGGAATGCGGATTATGTGTCCTTTACACGCACATGTAATGGGAAGATAAAGACAAATCGATATTCACGAACTCATCGATCTCGGTCTTTGAAAACCTCTTTTTTCTCTTTCTTTCTTTCTTTCTTTCTTTCTTTCTTTCTTTCTTTCTTTCTTTCTTTCTTTCTTTCTTTCTTTCTTTCTTCCTTCCTTCCTTC